CTGAAGTCAGACGCTCAACCGACTGAGCCACCCAGGGGCCCCTCGTTTCATTCTTTCTTCACAGATACTTGTATTCTGGTGAAATTCTCCATCCTTCCCTCTGTGCTCTTGATCATGTTAATCACAGCTATTTTAAAGTATTTATCTTACAATGTCAGTATCTAGCTACTCTGTGGTTCTGCTTCTGTTGTCTGTTTTTCTCGTGTATTTTAAAAGCCAAAAACTTTGCATGAGAAATTATAGGAGCTCTTAAGCAAGGGCTTCATTGTCTTCTAGAAGACAGATGGAACGCAATACAATCCCTTTGCTCCACTTGGAGCTGGGTTTCGGCATTTGTGAGGGCTGTTCTAGTTCTGGTCTGTTCTCGCCCCTAGATGGGAGTTGTGATGCCTGGGGCGTGGCCTGTCGCAGGTCCCAGCTGAGAGCACGCTACTCACCAGAGCCACTCCAGTTTGGCAGACCCTGAGCTCCACCCTCTGTCTGTCTCCCAGAGCCGTGAGATGATGAGAACCCTTGCCCTCTAGAAGCTGCCTCCCCCTTAGCTTCTTGGCATCACATCCCTAACGTGTGCAACTTAGCAGGAGTAGGTATTTCAGTAAGAAATTGCACAAAGACTTCGGGGCTTTCTCCTCTGTGACTTCCTCTCCTCTGGCATATTCGCCCCTGGAGTCCCTGCCACCGGGGATGCCCCAAACTCCAATCCTATCTCTCAAGCTCAGTAAACAGTGGAGAGCCCAGGCCTCTGATTTTCCCTCAGTTTCCATCATCCTGCTCTGTGAATAGGCAAATGATCCATGGTGGGAAAACTGAGGTGAATGCGGGGCCAACTACAAGTAAACTAGTTTCCTACTTTGCTCACATCATTTCTGACACCAAATGTGGGTTCTGCACACCAAGGATTTCTCTAATTCTCTGGGGACACTAACTGGGTGTCCTATAATTTAACTCCATTCTGGCACTACCCAGAGTTAGTGCAAACACCACAGATGAGAGGCCCAATCCCTCAAGACCGTCCCCCACTTCAGTTGCCACTCACAAGTCTAGGCCTCACATATTTCTGACCTGCCGGCTATAAATTGAGGGATCCCATGATCCCCTCCTCGGGGCCGGTACTTTGCTACAATGGCTCACGGAACTCAGGAAAGTGCTTTGCTTCCTATTACTAGTTTGTTAGGAAGGATACAACTCAGGAACAGCCAAATGGAAAGATGCACCGGACAAGGTATGGGGAAGGGCCCAGAGCTTCCATGCCCTCTCCGGGTGCACCAACCTCCCAGAAACTTCACGTGTTCGCCAACCTGGAGGCCCTCTAAACCCCACTGTCTGGGGATTTTTATGGAGGTTCCGTTACAGAGACATGATTGATCAAATCATTGGCCATTGGTGATGAACTCAACTTCCTTAGAGGTCAGTGGGTGGGGCTGAAAGTTCCAGCCCTCCACTGGCCTGATTGGTTACTCTGGCAACGAGCCCCCATTCTCCAAGACGCACCTCAACATAAACCCAGGTATGGAAGGAAGGGGTTTATTACAAATAACAAAAAGACTCTTCTCACTCCTATCACTCAGGAAATTCCAAGGGTTTTCAGGGGGCTCAGTGCCGGGAACCAGGGATGAAGACCTAATATATATTTCGTATTATATCACAGTGTCACAGTCCCCTTCCTAGGATCTTGACCCATCATGTGTTTTCTACCTCGGTTGTTTCACAGGACTTCAAACCAGCTTTTAATAGTTTTCCAGCTTTAACCAGTATTTTCGGTGGGAGGGTTAGAACAATACTACCTACTTCATTATAAATGGAAGCAAAAGTCCTCCTTGCTCACTGGCTTTAGAGGAACTTCCAGCTAATTTTTATAATTAAGTATACTTGGTACACAGGCAGTGGCCAAAACTATTTTCAATGATCTTTCTGTGGTATTTGTGAAAGAAATGAACTCATAGTAACAACATCCTGGGGGACAGCCACGCACACAAACCGTCACAGTCATTGTAACCGGTACTAATTGGTTTCCACATCAACAGTCTCTGCAGAACAGTTAATTTGGTGACAGAAGTAAGAATCAGTTTATTTTTAGGCTATTCGATCCCCTAAAATTCTGGAAAGTGCAGCAAGGGGACTGTGCTATCATTCACTGACCTTACTGACACCAAAGTAAATTTCTTTAGCCTCACCATGTTGGCTTCCATTGTTTGTACTTTTGACCTGAGATTGAGGCAGTTTAGAGTATTGATATTAAAAGCTTTATAGTTATATGAGTTAGTAAGCATTATTGTACATAAGAACCAATAAAATGACTCAGTCTTGGAAAAGTGCACAAACAACTTATTCGTTTACTAATTAACTTTAAAGAAGAAAGCATAATTACGATGTAGGCTTTGGTAACTGATAGCCAACAATCTGGATTCCCAATTGGCTTTCTCCTTTACCATCAAGGCCCAAGAATACTGCAACCCTTTTAGTGTTTTATAGGACAGAATAAAGAAGAGATTCCCCACCATTTTTGGGGGGGGCAATCAGTACACAACACTTTAAAAAAAGGCCGCGTACGCACACACATACATTGTGTGTCTACACATCAATATACATAGTAACTCATTCCTTTTTATAAAGTGTCTTCATAGGTAACCTAAATGCCTAACAGGAAGCTCTTATTTAATGCTAGTTCTTTCTAATTTACTCGGAATCAGAACTGCTCAGAACTTGTGCTTCAACAAGTACTTGCGACCCCCAGGGATGAACTGCCTTTCAGCTCTTTAATAAAAGGGGTGCTTTTTCCTAACTGAGAAGTCCCTCTCTCTGGCTTGTATGTTTTAACGCCACTGGATGGAGAGTGAAAGAAGGGAACCAGAAACAGAGACAGAAAGCACAGAAAAATAACAGAAGAACACTTCAGAAGAGCTGTGTGTGTGTGTGTGTGTGTGTGTGTGTGTGTGTGTGTGTGTGCGTGTGTGCGCGCGCGCACGTGCGTGCACGCAGACTCACCCCATGTGGTTGCAGTCTTGAGGTTTTCCTCATCCACGTGAACAATGCTGGATTGTGTTGGCTTCTGGAAGTCCTTATTGCTTACCATCTCCTTCACTGGGTCAAATGTTTTGAATGAAGGAGAGACATAGAGCGTCTCTACAGAGGCCTGGTTACAGAAGGTAGAATCTGACTTTGACGTCCTTAAATTAGGGCTGACAAACTCTTCCTTATTCGATGACCAAAACGATGGTGAAGTTGTCAATGTGTCAAAGCTTTCTGCAGCTGACTGCTTTTCCAGAGGCATTTGCAAAGGGCTTTCGGTTATGGTGTTTGTGATGGTACTGCTGTCTGGTTTCTTGTCCAAACTCACATTTGTCGGCAGAGATGGGCTTTCTTCTGAGGGGGTAGGCACAGCGTCTGTAAAATAACAAGTAAGAACCATGATCAAAAAATACAACTGAAAACACTCTGTTTTAAATCCGTTGCAATTTTCTTTTTTCTTTTCCTTTAAAAAAAATTTTTTTTTACGTTTATTTATTTTTGAGACAGAGAGAGACAGAGCATGAATGGGGGAGGGGCAGAGAGAGAGGGAGACACAGAATCCGAAGCAGGACACGGGGCTCGAACTCACAGACTGTGAGATCGTAACCTGAGCTAAAGTCAGACGCCCAACCGACTGAGCCACCCAGGCGCCCCTCTTTTCCTTTTTTTAAAGTAAGCTCTACACCACGCATGTGGCTTGAACTCATGACCCTGAGATCAAGAGCCACATGCTCCACGGATAGAGCCAGCCGGGTGCCCCCAAATCCATTGTAATTTTAATAATGGATTTTTTTTTTTTTAATTTGAGAGAGAAAGAGAGAGCAAGCAGGAGAAGGGGTCTGGGTAGGGGGAGAGAGAGAGAAAGAGAGAGAGAGAATCTTAAGCAGGCTCCACATTTGCCTGACATGGGCTCGATCTCTAACCCTGGGATCATGATCTGAGCTGAAATCAAGAGTTGGATGCTCAACTGACTGAGCCACCCAGGCACTCCTAAATCGGATTTTTTGATGCTATAACAGGATTCTCTATTTAGTTGTTTCTACTTTCTTACTATATTTCTCTTCTGCCTATATAAAGTATACCCCAGCTATTACTGATGCATTAGTCATTTGGTGGCCGCTTCTCTCTCTCTCTCCTCACTGAAGCACAAGGAAAGGAAAGCTTCAAATAACTTGTCTTTAAATATTTTTCTCTTCACCCACTTATCTGTCTCTGAAACCACTATATTTTTAGAACCTTCAAACGTTCATCTTTTACAAGATAAACTAGAGAAAATATGCCATATCATACTGGTCTATCCCTACAGAACCCCCAGCTACCAAAAAAAAAAAAAAAAAAAAAAAAAAAAAAAAAAAAGGCCGTTTTCCCCTGTAATAAAAAAATGTCTTCTTGCCCTGGTGTCTACACAAAGCCCATGAAAGAAAACCCTGCTTTCGGTAGCAGAATCCTTTGTCTATGTGGGAGAAAAGAAGCAATCTTTCAGAGCCGTTGTGATGATTACCAAAATGTAAGTTCCGTCAGGGCGGAATCTTTATCCATTTCATTCATTAATATCACCACAGTAACTAGAATATGACAAAGTACCTGGAATATAAGGGACAAATAATATTTATTACAAATAGAAGGAATTGAAAGGAGCTGATATTTAAGGTAGGTCTGATATAGGAAGACCTACTGAATCTATGACTTATGATCCTGGTCCAAATTTCTAGACGCAAACTGTTACCAACACTCCGTGCTAGGGCTTGCTCTGAAGTAGTTTTACCTGAAGTTGGATATGGAAAGAAAGAAAAGTATTTTAAGAGATACAGTTGATGAAGTTAGTGCGTCATGGGCTGGGAATGGGCAAAAGGAAGACTGAGCAGAAGCTCCCAGAAGAGGATACAGGAATTGTGTAATTCACTATCGAGTGTCTACGTATCACCATGCACACCACAACACAGCCTCACAATGCACATTTATATGCCATCATCACCGCTGTCAGGCCCTGAGTTATTACAGAAACACATTTTCATCCACAGTTGGAGGCCAGCCTGGGCGAAATGGCTGCTGGGACACCACAGCATTAGACAATTCAGGACACGTACCTCACTCCCTCCGTGGGGAGTTCCATTTCTCTCCAACCCTCTCACCTCCAAGCTCTTCCATCTTTTCAAACTGATTCAAGCAGCCTGTTCTCTTGCCCTGAACCTGCTCTTTCCTTTCCTTGCCCTCCCCTGTCATTGTCTTTCTCACCACACCCTGTCTGGGGCCCTGTATGTAGTCAGCCTTACACTTCCTCATTCTCACCAGTCCTGCCCCTCCCGGCAAACAGGCCCCCCGCAGAGGCCTTCTTAGGAGTTATCTTTGTGCCCCAGCACTGGAGAGTGTGACCCGTAGGAAGTGTTCAGTAAACGCTTGTTAAGGAGAAGGACAAATAGAAGCACAAGGATAAAGAAAGAGAAAAAGTAGTGCCTTTGTTTTTAAAAAAGTCAAATCAAGTTACTAAAGAATCATTAAAAGGAAGAGTAAATCGGTAGATGAAAATAACTTCTAAAATATCCCTAATTTGCGTATGACTGAGTTGTAACTAGTTGGTAAAGGTTTCTGTTAAAGATGCGAATATATTTCCCGGCAGAATGCTAGACTGACTAGCGCCAAGCACATGTATACCTCACCATGTTTACATAAACGCGTTTCTTCAGAGTGGATTTTTGTCAAATATTTTCCCATTGGCTTCTATTTTACATCTGAGAGAAATCGGGGGAAAAGCATTTTTCTATAGTAACAGAGTCACCTTAACACTTAGCAATATGGACAGTAAGATAATTCAGAATGACAATGACTCTCTGATGGAAATATTCATAACAACACTCAATCTAAATCTCAAATCTGGGATGTATAAAGTCATCTAACAGCCATCATTTTATTTGCTTATTTTCTTATTTTTTTTATTTTAAAGTAACCTCTATACCCAACATGTGGCTTGAACTCATGACCCCGAGATCAAGAGTCATATGCTCCTCTGACTAAGCCAGCCGGGTGTCCCTAGCCATTGTGTTAACGTTTAATACAAAAGCTTAACATTATAAAAGAAAAAATTATCTTCAAATTCAACGAAACAAACCAGACTGAAGTCTATCTATCCACCCTCTTTCCCATCTGTCCAGGAGAAACAGTCTTCTGGATGCTTAGACTTTGGTGTTTAGACTGGTAATCTTTTCAATGAGTAAAACACTATGATCTAAAAGAAGAAAGCATGACAACAATTCAAAAATAATGATTTAAAAAAGATTTTTTGATAATGTTTATTTATTATTGAGAGAGAGAGAGAACGCGTGTGCGCAAGTATGAGAGGGGGAGGGGCAGAAAGAGAGGGAGACACAGAATCCGAAGCAGGCTCCAGGCTCCGGGCTGTCCGCACAGAGCCTGATGCGGGGCTCGAACTCACAAACTACGAGAACATGACCTGAGCTGAATGAAGTCAGTCGCCTAATGGACTGAGCCACACATGCACCCCTATTTTATTTTATTTTATTTTATTTTATTTTATTTTATTTTTTTTAATGTTTTTATTTATTTTTGAGACAGAGACAGAGCATGAGCAGGGGAGGGGCAGAGAGAGAGGGAGACACAGAATCTGAAGCAGGCTCCAGGCTCCGAGCTGTCAGCACAGAGCCCGACACAGGGCTCCAACTCGAGGACCGTGAGATCATGACCTGAGCCGAAGTCGGATGCTTAACCAATTGAGCCACCCAAGCACCCCTCAAAGTTTCTTTACCTTTATTACCATCTATTTCTCACCCTGCACCCCCAACACTGGACCACCCCCTCCGCTTCTCTATCTATTTAAATCCTATCAACTTCTCAAGGCCTCTACCTCGACTACTTCTGGAAACCATTTCCAATCACACCTACCTAATCCTTCCCTTCTCTCAATAATAAATATTAGTTTCTGTAAACTCATTTTTTTTTCCACCTAAGAATATGCTGTACACAGCCTATCACACATCGTACTAACTTCCCACATTCTGACTTTAGAGCCTCGACCATGCTTTAGCAGGTAGGATGTCTGCAAAGGTGAGTTAAATAGGATAATATATAACTTATCTAATATAAGTGTTATATGTGGATTTTGTGTATAATAATGTACAGTGGATGTAAAGGCTAAAAATTAAGATTAAAGATTAAAGATTTTAAAGAATAAAAATTAAAGATTAATCAAGAAACACTTGTTGAACATCTACTGTTTGCACTGGACTGTATTTTTTTTTTTTAATTTTTTTTTCAACGTTTTTATTTATTTTTGGGACAGAGAGAGACAGAGCATGAACGGGGGAGGGACAGAGAGAGAGGGAGACACAGAATCGGAAACAGGCTCCAGGCTCCAAGCCATCAGCCCAGAGCCTGACGCGGGGCTCGAACTCACGGACCGTGAGATCGTGACCTGGCTGAAGCCGGACGCTTAACCGACTGCGCCACCCAGGCGCCCCTGCACTGGACTGTATTTAACTCTGCAGGCACGTAAGTGGAAGTCATAGTTCCTACTGTCAACGAATGTTAAGATCAAGCATGGATTTTATATAAGCAGATAGGTAGGTAGGGAGAGAGAGAGAGAAAGAAGGAAGGAATATATATACATATACGTGTATACCTACAAAAGTATACGGACAATAAACACATAGAAATAACTAATGATACAAGTTACCAGTTAAATTTCACAGTGTCTAAGAGGTTGCAGTTTCTCAATAAATGAGTAAACGTGAAGAATAAATGTGTATAATACAGTAGATAATAATACAGTAAATTTGTATAATACAGTAAATATTCTGTATCTGTAGGATACAGTTTCAGATCGGGTTCCCCTAGAAGCAGACTTGGATGCAGGGAGCATCCTGCAAGTCTGAGAAAAAGACTTGGATGCAGGGAGCGGGTTTGGCCGTCAATCCCAAGGGCACGAGTGAAGGAGTGGGCATGGTGAAACAGAAAAGGGATCAAGTCAATAGAGCGTACTACTGACCAGATTACCATGGTGCGCAAATGAGGTTCGATCCCGCGGGGTGCTGCAGGGTTGTCCTTTCAGGAATGGGAAGGCGGAACACAAATTCAGAGACTCTCGCCTTCACTGGCTGAGGGTTGCGCTCACTAGTGCTAAATCTGGGGCGCGTCTAGGTGGTCTCGCACTTACGCCGAACAGGTGGTGTCTGGGCTCCAGAGGAAACCCCAGTAGAGGACACTCGCGGTGGATAGGGGGACTGGTCACCAGGGCTGCCGCTGAACTCAGAGGTAGGCCAAGAGAATACGGGGTGGGGGCATTAACAGCATTTGCTACAAGACATATTCATTTCTCAGTTTTCCTTTCCCCATACCCACTGGAATGACAGAAGTGGCACAAA